AGAAGGAAGCAATTAGCAACCAGTCACCATATAGAACCATTTACAACCAATCATAACTTAATGTAATATACTCAAAATAAACAAATAATTTTTCTCCATGTATTGCTTAAGGAGGCAGGTGAGAATTTTATAATGCCCAGATCATTCAGTCAGGATTTATTCAGTGCATAACAAGCAAGACATGGAACTAGGCACCACTGCTTCAATGACCATACTTCCAAAATGAAAATTTTGAATACACACATCAACAAAAAATGTTATGTAACTTCCAAGTTTATGCAGCAACCTGGGAGACATAGTTTGGACACTGACATACTAGAATTTCCAAAACATTCCAATGCTACACAGTAGAGACAACTAAACATTTAATTTCAGAAGTAGTAGTAGCTCCTCCCCCAAAAAAGAAAAATCGGGGTTGTAGAAAGAGACTCTACATATTTTAATGTTAGAGCTGATGAATTTTTTTACTTAACTCCATACGAATAAAATTCTGTCTTTGAACATCAACCATCATTCTTCTAGTGTCACAACTGTAGAAAGTACCTGAAATTGACAACACTGTAAGGTGGTATGTCATGATCTGAAGGCAACTGTTAACATAAATCTCTGATATCCATTTGTTTGTTTTGCTCCTGGCAGGCATGTGCAGAATTTCCAGTTGCAAGAGATAGGAGTAAGTTCATAGAAAGTCAGATAGACCATATTTTAAAATAGAGCCGTAATATATTTTGCTGTGAGGCAAATGCATGGATTAGGGGAATAAAAAGAAGAAAAACACCAAGTTCTATTCCTTTCTCTGATTGTATCAATAAGGACCCATCAAATTTTCAGTGTCTACATCATTCCCACCAGATGACTGTATTTTAAAAAAAGCAGTGCTGCCCTAGCTGGGTAGCTCAGTTGGTTAGAGCATCATACCAATATGCCAAAGTAATGGGTTCAATCTCCAATCAGGGCACATACAACATGCAAACAATAAATGCATAAATAAGTGGGAACAGAGGGAAGGGCAACAGATGAAACAAAGCAGTGCACTCATCACATAACAGTTTCATTTCCTCCAAGTATTTAGCTGTCATGTAGCAAAGTTCTACAGCCAGCAGGGAATGTTAGGGCCAGGCTAAGAGTTAAAGGCAGAACCACGCAGGGATCAATGAAGAGAGCTAAAGTTTGAAAAGAAATGTCTGTGGAGCATCACTACAGAGAAAAACCAGATTATTGAGTATGTCAGGGGAGGGAAGTAGTAGTTATTCTTCTATGTAACCTCCTCCATCTTTCGCTTTATATTATGCAACTAGAGGCTCGGTGCACAAAATTTGTGTCCCTCAGCCCAGCCTGTACCCTCTCACAGTCCCGGAGCCCTCGGGGGATGTCCAACTAATAGCTTAGGGCCATCCATAGTAGGACATCCTTAGCGCTGCTGCAGAGTTGGGAGAGGCTCCCACCACTGCCGCTGCATTGGCCAGCATGAGCCCGGCTTCTGGCTGAGTGGCCACTCCCCCTGTGGGAGTGGACTGACCACCAGGGGGCAACTCCTGCATTGAACGTCTGCCCCCTGGTGGCCAGTGCACATTATAGTGACCCGTCGTTCTGCCATTTGGTCGATTTGCATATTAGTCTTTTATTATATATGACTCTTTTTTTTAAATGTAAATGTAAAATGATGAATCCTGTTATTCTAATTTCCAACAAATGTTACTACCACGATGTTTTCTCTGAATTTTTATACTTTCCTTTTTTTTAATCCAAGAACATCTCAATGAAACAGCTAGTTTTGCTAAATGAAGTAGCTTCTCCAAGGTAATCTAAATGAATGCGTTTCATCTTTAATGCTGCATCCATTTCCTTTCATTCCTAAGGTTTAGAATACTGATAAGGGTCTCTGAGCACACTTGAGAAGGTGCTAAAAACCTGAAAAGTCCGTTAGTTGCAACTTAAATTCAACCTATTTTTCTAAAGTTGTATGCTGGAAGTACAAGTCAAGAAAATCATAATACTACTCACAAGCAGAGCTTTATTTGTAAATAGCAATTTGTTATACAATAAAAACCAGCTCACTCTAATGAAGGTAACTGTAAACAAATGCCATGGCACACCATGGTAATAATGGTCCAAATACTCTATGTAAGCAAATACTTCTATAACTGCATTTGGTACAAGGAGATAAAGTTTAAGGAGCACAGAAATTTCTTCAAAGATAATCCCTTTCCTGCATTAAAGAATAAGTCAGTCTCAGAGCATGAAGATAAGTTCTAGCAAAATGTAAAGTCATAATTTTGTGAACAGTCTTATGTAATTTTTATGAATATGAAAAATTGTTTGGTAATGTTCTCCATTCATTACACATGTACTCTGTACTCACCAAGCATCTGTATACATATTCAAGGGGAACTGCTATTTCATAGTAGACTGATCATCAAAATAGAGTATCATCTCAAATAATTAACCATAAAAATCATACTTATGACAAAATGTTGAATCCAACACTTGCTAATGGCTTTTAAGTCTGTAAGAAAGTGTAAGAAATAGTGTCCACCTTAAAAATCAGAATTCGCCAATAAAACTTTTTTCTTTAAGTAAAATTTCACATTCAGAATTTCACATCAAGAGGCTTATCAAAACAAATGTAAAATTAACTTTTCTATTTTGTGTTTATTAACCACATGTGCGCTCACTTCTGTAGATTCTTTTAAATTCTGAAAATGAACCATATATTAAAAACACTGACTTTATAATCTCAAAGTGTGTATCCATTTCAGGGGGACATTTGGTGTATATATATACTATGCACTGGGGAGAAAAGGCAAACAGCGACAGAATGATTGAATGGACTCTTTCACATTAACTGGTAAAGACACCAAGCCTGAATATACAATATTTTTTGCATTTGTCACTTGATGACAATTTCACATTTACATGTAGAATCCACACTTTGTGATTTAAAACAGGGAATGTGATCTATGTGTTTGCACATAAGTATTTTTTTTCATTGCTGACACCTTTACCGCTTATCATTTGAATTGCAAGTTTTATATTAATTGTTTGAAACTAGGTAATCTTAGCGTACACATTGGTGTTACAACACCTAAACTTCACACATCAGAGAGATATTTGTTACTCTCTGATATTTTAGCAAAAGGTCTTGTTTTACATGTCAACAGAAAGCCTTAAACAAACCACAGTTCTTTTGAATGAATTTGAATTGACTGTTTACAGGAGGATCCATGGCCTGCAGAAAGAATAGCTGTGCATCTCTAGTCCCATTTTCCAATCATTTTTTTTTTCAGGTATTTCTTTCTTATTTTGATGGGTCTATGAATACTACATTGAGGCATGAATGATTTTAATATGACCAAAACAAAATAAGATATTTTATTCTATTTTCCTTATAAAGGAGACCACCATTTCCCCCATAAGAGAACACATACACAAAAGTTTCAAAACTGAGCACATCCGAATGAAGCAAGGAACAGTTCTGAAGCCCCACATGAATTCTGACTTAATGGTCTTTAGGCCGCTGGAGTACTTCACCTATGGGCTCTTCATGCAAATGACTTTATTGCCTTCACTCTACTTGCAAGCTCTGGCCACATAAGAGCCCATCTTGGTTCTATACCCCCCACCACCCCCACCCCACCCCACCACCGGCACCACCATCACCACCACCACCTCTCTCATTCTCTCTCTCTTCACCAGCCAGCCTAGTCTCCAATTTCAGAGGCCCGCTCAGCGCCCAGCCCACGCCCAGCCCTGCTTCGCTCTGCATTCTGACCCCCAGGCATGAGGGCTACTACTTAATCCTGGAGGTTCTGCTACGTTGTCTCATCCTTCCAGGATTCCTAGGACGCTTCCTCCCCGACTCCACCACGGAACACAAGGGAAGTGGGTCTCTCCCTCCCCACCCCGCCACCCCCGGGCAATAGAGGAGACCCCTGCCTCTCCCATTCCTCCCCCCACGCATCCCGGCTTCTTTGCCAGAAAGCTCAGGGCCATCTCCGCCAGAAACAGAGGCTCCCTGGCTCTGGGAGAACCAACCAGCCCCTGGAGAAAGGGGTGCCGGGCGCGGAGAAAGCCGGCGGGGCGAGTTTCCCCACGGGGAGGTGCGCTCCGGAGGGGAACTATTCGAGAGCAATGACAGGTCGGCGGGGGGGAAGGCGGAGGGCGGCCGGGGAGCTGGGAGAACTGCTCTCTCGCCTCTCGCAGGGCCTGCGGGGGAATCCCGGGGCCAGGACGGTGGGACACCCGGGTCGATCCCCGCCCCCGCGCCCCCGCGCGCGCCCTCCGCCCCCCCCCCCAGCCCGCCCGCCCGCGGCGCCCCCGCCCCGCCCCCGCCCCGCGCGGCAGGCAGCGCCGGGCGCCCCACGCTCTCCCGCTCTCTCGCGAGTCCTGTGCAGGCCCTTCCAGGGGGAGGGGAAGGGCGCGCGGAGGGACTTGCTGCAATGGATCGCCCCGAGCACCCCAGCCCGAGGCAGGCAGGCAGGCAGTCGGTCGAGGAGAAGCCACCACCACCGCCACCTAAAAAATGCCGTGTTCATTTAAAAAGAAAAAAAAAAAAGCCATACCCCACCCCCTCCCTGTGCAAAAGAAAACCATAAACCCGATCCCATGCAAGCCAGTGAGCAAGCCACCCACTTCCTATTTCTGTCACAGCAGCTACACCCTGCCAGCAACCACCGCCGCCCCCCCTCGCCCCCCCCGCACCCCGGGCGCCCCCTCTCGCCTCCGCCACCCCCTAGGCCGCCTCCCCAAGGCTCAGCCATTTACTAACGGATCCCTCCACCCCCCCCCATAAACAAAAATGCCCCCAAGTGGGCCTGGGAAGGGGAGGCCTGGGGGACAGGGTGCGCGCGAGAGGGGGGGTGGGGGGGAACGAGGGTTGCACAATATCCTAGAAGGTCCGTGGCCGCAGCGGGGAGAGAGCCCGGGGCGGGGGAGGGGAGGGAGGGGACCGGAGGGGAGGCGAGCCGCCCGGTGCCTGCGGCATACGGTGCACCCCTTACCTTTCACCACCCGGTCCGTCGTCGACAACTTGGGATCAATGGCCTTGGGCTCGGACATCTCCAGCCGCCGGGGGGACAGCGACGCGCTGTTCGTTCGTCCGTCCGACTGCACACCCCGACCGGACCGGCGGGGGCCAGACACTCCGCGCCGCCGCCGCCGCCGCCGCGCTGCACACCGCTCGCCGGAGCTCCGGGTGCGGAGCTGGCTGCAAAGTTACTGCCTTCCCCGCGCGTCCCTCTTCCTCCTCCGCCGCCGCCGCCGCCTTCACTTCGCCGCCGCCGCCGCCACTGGCCCCGCCGCCGAGGCTCCCGGCACGCGTGTGTGCGGGTTATTTATTTATTTTCTGAGCACGCCGCTCGGTTGGCTCTTCTTTTATTCTCGGGGAAGGGGGATGGGTAGACAGAGTAGCGCACACTCGAGCAGCACCCACCCGGGCACGGAGAGCGGGCGCCGCGGAATGGAGCCCCGCGCGCGCACACAGCCGGGATTAGGACCGATCACATGGGGAGGGCCGGGGGCGAGGGAGGAGAGGCAGGGCCGCGGGTGTCAGGGCCACCAACCGCGCCTCGGCGTCCCCGGCGGCGGAGAGGCGCCCGCCGCTGCCGCTGCTGCCGCTGCTGCTGCCGCTGCTGCTGTCGCTGCTGCTGCCGCTGCTGCTGCTGCTGCTGCTGCCGCCGCCGCTGCCGCCGCCGCCGCTCCCCGCACCGAGCGCCGCAGCAAGTCCGCGGCCGCCGGAGACGTCCCGCCGCCCGCTCGCTCGCCTCTGCGTCCCGCGCCGCTCCTTCCCTCGCACACACAGGCGGAGCCGCGGAGCTCGGCAGACACAGTCCCGGGCGCAACCTACCCTCCGCCGCCGCCGCTGCCGCCGCCGCCACCGCGCCCGCCTCCGCCTCCTCCCCTTCCTCCTCCCGGCCCCCGCCTCTCCCTCCCGGGCTGCCTCCTCCTCCTCCTCCTTCTCCTCCTCCGCGCCGGGCCCGCCCCCGGGGCCCGCCCCCACGTCAGAGCCCCTGCTTCTGATTGGTCGGCTTGTCGGTCAATCTACGCCAGGTGACGGCCTCCCGGCTCCGCCCACGCCCCGCCCCTCCTCCCGGCCCCGCCCCCCGCTCTGTTTTCTCCCAGCTGCCAGCCAGCCCGCGTGCCCGCCGCCCGCGCCGCCCGCCCGCCCGGCCCTGCTCAGGTGTCACCGGGGCTGGCAGGCCGGGATCGGGCCGGAGCGCGGGCCGGGGGCGCGCCTGGGTGGAAGGGGGGGGGAGGGCTCTACCAGCAGCCCCATTGGGCTTCCTCCCCTGGACCCCCCCCACACACACACACCCTCGCCGCCTGGGTGATGGTGCCCCTGCGGCTGGGCTAAGCCTCAGTGTGAGTAGCCGAGCGCGGAGGGTGTCTCCGGGGCTGTGCGTGGCTCCCGGTGTGTGCCGGCTCCGAGGAGGGCGTGGAGGGCGCAGGCTGGGATCGGGGGGCGCAGGCCGGGCGTGGGGGGAAGGGGCGACGAGCCAGCGGAGGAAGGCTGGGTGCGGGGAGCCCCGCGGCCCGGGGCGCTGTCGCCGCCCCAGCTGTCCGGGGAGGATCGTCCAGACATCAGCCAATAAACAACTCACCTTGGGGGGCCGGGCTCCTTTTGGCATGCGTGTACCGACCACTGGTTTAGCTCTTGCGCCCTTTTTTTGCAGGCGAAGTGTTGCTTGCTAACCCTTACTTGCTCACATTTACTCCCATACCTTGGCGGGGCGGGTGGGAGTGAGGGGGGGGGGGGTCTTGGGAGAGGTGCCACCCAGACACTGGGCAGGGGACGTGGCCGTGGCCAGGGGTGCTGAGCGATGTGGGACGTGGGAGCGGGCTATCCAAGGAAGATCGGGGCAGGAGTCAAAATGACCCCGGACAACTCTGAGTCACCGGGGATAGTCAGATCCTGCAGGTGTGTGTGTGTGGGGGGGGGGGGGGGGCGCGGGAGAGACACCCCAGAGAGGGTCGTATTTTCCCTGTTGGCACAAGCAAGCCACTGGTCAGGCTGCCTGTGACACACCTCCCTTCCCTGCTCTTTGCGGTTGCCTGACACCCATCTGATGCTACCGCTACCCATACTCGCTTCAGGGCCTCGAAGCCCTAGGAGGATCCACAGGATGAGTCCCGCCAATGGGAAGGAAAAGAAATTAATCCAAGGCAGAGGCCAGAGGTGACTGGTCTAAATGCTCCTTCGGGATCTACCTGCCACAGGGTGAGTGAGGGTCTCCCTCTGCCAGAAGGCCACCTCCACACAGCTCCTGGCTCCCATCAGCCTCCTTTCAGCACCGAGGCCTGGCGAGGAGGCCTGAGTTTCTTAGGGAATAATGAAGAGAACTAAGTGAATTTCCCACCCTGCTTCCTTCCTGTCTTCTTTCCAAATCCCACCACTATCAGCTTATTCCTAATTTTTTTTTGAAAAGGACCCAGGAGCCTAGTAAAAGGCCTCATACAATATTTAGGGAGCTAGGAGGTAGAGCCAGTGTTTGGGGACGGGGATGACATTAAAGTTCAAACTTACAAATAAGTTTTAGGAATTGACTGGTGGTGCTAGAGCATGACTTGAACAGTTTGGCCTGCAAGGAGTCGGAACTTACTGGAGAAAGCACTTAAGCCTCTGTGGAGGCCTGCTAGCTGGAAAGGAGACCATGCAGGGTGTGTCCATCTGGCTCCAAGACTCTGCTGTCTGATTCAGAAGCCAGGATAGGGCTCGGTCATTAGGCTGACAGTACATTCAATAAACATGTGTTGTTCTTTTCTATGCCAGACACTGTGGTAGATAATTTATGTGTGTGTGGAGGGAGGAGGGGATAGTTTTTGCCTTCAATAAAGCCTGGAGTCCAATAGGACTATCATAAAAATACTAGCTCTGAGAGGTCACTGTATCATCTCAGGAAGGGGTTGTTAAGAACAGCCTCCTAAGCATGGGCGGAGCTAGTTGCTAAGGTAAATTTGGGGAGCTGGTCCCTAGCCAGGTGGGACAAAGCCAGGCAGGGATGCCAAGACCTGTAGGAGAGGAAGAGGGTCTGCTTGAGAAAAGACTAACAAACCACGTCCGGGGATTCTCACTTCTGAGACCGTGAGTGTTCTCTCCTACATGTTGCGGTTTCCACCATTTTTTAGACTCACTCTTCAGGTTGAAGAAAAATACCTGTAAACCAAGATCCGGAAGCTTAACATGTCAGCCCCATAGAAAAGTTATATGATGCAGATAGGAAATAAAGGCACACCCTTCAGTCCTCCACAAATCTAAGACACCTCCTAGCTGAGGTATGTGTGGGGGAAAAGAGGTTATGAATCATAATCACTTTATAGCACATTTATCATCAGGTACCTTTAATGCATGTTTGTACTCCCATACTGCTGTGACACAGACATCTTAAACAAAACTGGACCCTACACAGGAAAATGAGACAACAGCATGTTCATTGAGAACTAGTTACATCCTCATGCTGGGCCTGCTGAAATAGCCAAATCATCCTTTTTATACAGATTTTTTTTCAAATATATATATAAAGCTTAGTAGACTGGCCAGGCTGATTATGATTATATTATACTTGTATGTGATTACCTTATATTTGGAATCTACATTTTTCAAGCTATTACTGGAAGCTGACTTTAACAATATCCCCTGCTTATAAAGAAACAAATTTGCTGTCTACTAAAAAATTGTATTTCCCATTCTTTTGTATATTTTTCTCTGAGAAACATATGCCCAGGTAGAATTTCTCTTTCCTGACCTGCACCTGCTTGTGTCTAAGTGAATCCATGTATCTCATTCTGGTCAATGAACTGTGGGCTAAAGTGTGTCATCACTTTCAAGCCAAAACAGCTAAGCAAGAGATATTCATTACCTATGCATTCCCATCCTTTAGCTCAAGCATGTCAAACTTAAAGACTAACATGGACCAAATAAATGAGGCATGTGGCCCGCAGGCTGTGAGTTTGACATGCTTGCTTTAGCTGAATGAAGATGTTTCAATGGCCCAGGAGAAGGCATAACACCACATGGAAAGAGCTAACTTCTTCAATTACCACATAGAGGGATGCAGCCCACCCACTATGAAAATCTGCATCAGGCTTTGCATGAAGAAGAAATAAGCATATATTGTGTTGTTCCATTGAAATTTGGGGATATGCTTGCTAGGGTAGCTAGTACTATCAAACCAATACACGAGGTTATTTAACATGCTAGTACAAAAGTAAAATTCATATTTTTTTCTGTTATATAACAGAACTACCAGACTAAAAATATTCTTACTTCTTTTAATATGTGAGCATCAAACTTTGCCTTCTTGTAAATGAATTATTCATTTACCAGTTGTGTTTTGAACACCTGTTCTGTACAAGGTACTGTGCTAGATGGTGCAAAAACGTATAGATTAGGAACTCAAAGATTTAGTCCTTTATTCAAGAATCTCAAAGTCTTATTATACAAGAATTGTATGCATATTATCTATGCAAAATTTTAGGTATAAAGGAGTAACATCCTCTACTGGAGAAAACAAACTAATTTTACCATTGACTTCACAACTCATTATGAAGATAAATGTGTGGAACAAAAGAAAATATTGACGATTCAGTATCATCTATATAGTCAAATGCTCCAAATCACAGCTTACATCCTTGAGGGCAAATCATATTAAATGAACAGTATTTTAAGTGCTCAGTTGATTGGGTGTTGTCCTATGCACTGAAGAGTTGCTGGTTTGGGAGGGTGCATGCCTGGGTTGTGGGCACAGTCCCCTGTGAAGTGCATGTAGGAGGCAGTGATGGATGCTGCACTCTCACATCAATGTTTCTCTTCCCCTCTTTCAAATCAATAAAAAGTCTTTTAAAAAAATAAGGTTTTTTTTTTTTCAAGAAAAGAACTGAAGTTATTGTATTTTATATCTTGTTTTGAGAATAACATACTCTTGAAATGTTGAACTTTCTCTTTGTACTTGGATATCTTTACACTCATTTTGACATTAAGAATTTTGACTCTTCTCTTGGTTTTGACTCTCCAGAGGGACGTATTTTGTTCTGAGTAGTTGATGGGAGACAGGATGTCTGGC